TTCCCCTACTACTAGTTCATTAATTAACTACAATGAAACTTACGTTACTAGTAAAGTACACATTCCTGTTTGTAGAGTAAGTCATCATTTGGTCTTATAGATTACAATTGTGTTCCTTACAAAAGTTATTAGGGTGTTTGGATTTAATAACATTTATTCAAATTGCATTGTAGCGGCATAATATTATTGAGATCAATTATGAATGAATTAAGCAAGCATTAAAACTGAATGTACTGAAAAATACATTAGTCTGAAGTGCAAAGATATACGGTTTCAGTTGTTTCGTTTATGGCAAGCACAAAACTACATAATGGGTTATCTGCCCTGTGTACACCATTGGTATCAAGCCCACTATGGTATCAAAATAATTAAATTTGTATTAGATAGTTGAAAAGACTCTGGCAAATGCTTTAAGGTTCTTTAAACATTAATTGTTAAATGACACACTAACACTTAGTGAGCTACAGTAAAAAATCTTAAATTTCAAATGAACAAAAGGTAAAACCAAAAGTATACATGTCTGTCACTATAAAAGTATCTTAAAATTTCTTTTAATTTCCTTTTTTTCATTTATTTTTTCTTTCAAAAAATTAATTAAAGTATAAAAGCCACTTAATATATTTTTATCAATACCTGTCTTATATAGAACTTAAACTAATAAGTGAAAAAATCCTTCAAGCAACAAAGTAATTAAAAAACAATAAAACTAAAATAATGTAATAAAATAATATGATAAAAATAATTACAAATGAAATATACAATGACATGTTAATTTTACAAAAAACCACAACTGCAAACAAAATATGTGTTTACATACAATAATGAATAATACAAACCCAAAAATGAAAACACTTAAAGAACTTCATTTATACCTGAACTGTTGTATTGTCATCTGTATTAAGTATACAGCGAACAGCTGCAGGAAATGCTTGAGTGATTAGGGCTTCCAGCAATGGCTTGGAACTACTCCGAACAACAGTTTGTAGAACATCTAGTGACACCTGACAATAGAAATGTTTTGTAATATAAAATACAATTACATATCTGCAATAATCTTAGTGAATATTAAAAGAAAAACAAACAAACATGACAGCATTTCTGAACCTGTGATTAGCACAAATAATGCCAGAAAATAAACCTTATGCAACTGTAAACCACAGTATTACACACTCCAAACATTTTTAAAATTATTTTTAATTATTATATGACTTCAAGGGTTTACCTGATATTAAAAAAACCAAAAATAAAGCATACTATAACTATTTGTAAAATTATTTAAATTATATTTAACTATTATATGGTTTCAAAGGTATACCTGATATTAAAAAACAAGAATAAAGCACACTATATGAAACAGGATGATTAGAAAACAGTTACCCCTATTGTCTAATATTACAATTTTTTTTTGTAATGATATTTATTTAAGGCAAAACATTTTGCTAACATGTGAAATTATTTTATATGAAACATCACATATTTGTAACTATGAAACATTCATAATTTGAAATGCTAAAAATACATTTATACAACACATTTCCTCAAGCTGGTAAGGAATTTTTTTAACAATTAAAACTACCACAATTTTAAGTAAAAAATTATTTAAATCTGAAAAAATCTACATGCACATAATGAAAATACACATCATTGGACAAAACTGCCACAGTTGTTTAAATTTTGGTCTCCCACAGTGGTACTTCTCATTTAAAGAAATAAGTTAACTCCACATAATGAATGTGGGTAATTGAATTGGTTGGATGAAAGGTTAATGTAAGAACAAGTGCAGAAGAGAAGAAACACAACTAAAACTAAGTGCTATTTATTTCATATTCCACAATTGTATTACAATGTGAAACTAAAGTAAAATAAAAACAAACTTGAATTAAAACATAGCAATGCACGGTCAATATACATAAAAAGGAACCTACATAAAGTTGCACCATTTTAAAGCATATCTTAATCCTTTAAAAGCAAAAGCTAATCTCCCTTAATTAAAGTGCCAAAACTCCTCTCATAGTATACATTGTCTCTGTAGTTGACCATTCACAGATTTGACCACCAAAAACCAGAAGTATCTCTGTTCCATGCAACAGTTGTAAAGCAGTATTCTAAACAAGGTAAAGTACAATAAACCTAAAATACAGTAGACAGTTTGTATGATTGAATCATACTACAGAAAGTAACACCTCAGGCCAAACTTAGCATAACCCAACTTAGAACTTTAGAAAAATTGTAAAGTTTTCTAGATACAAAATATACACTATGGGAAAGTCAAACATGAAACATTTGCATACTATATCACAACCTTTAACATTTCATTCATTTCTAGCCAAAAATGGGAGAGCTGATGTCCATGTTTTCTGAGGATGCACAATTATACTAAAAAGAAACTAGAGATAATAGACATTTTATCATTAAAATGTATCACCTGAGGGGTTGGGTGGGAGGCATCAATACAGTGTAAACAGAGAAGAGAAAAAGAGGTATGTCAATGAATGTTACAACCTCCATAGAAAACATCAGATAAATCATTTTAGATTTTCCCACAAAGTGTAGGGATCATATTGTAAATATTATTTTTATGGAATGACTATTTCATTATAATTATGATACAATTGTTTTATAATGGTCAACCTAGAGAAATTTTAGTAATTAGGCTTTTGTAAAAGAAATATGAACAACATAGAAAAAAAACTATAAAGTGAAACTTCTGAATAATAAGAAACTAAAATAAAAATTTCCTAATATAGATACAAACATATAATTGAAAATTCAACAATACATGTATAAAAAACAAGTTTATTTATACTCTAAAAGAATGAGATATATTAATGAAATGAAACTCCTGTTCTTTTTTTACAAAAACATTATCACGTTCAAACCCAGTGACTATCAATGTATACTGGTGTGGCAAATTTTACAGACAACTTTTTTTACTTCATCTTCAGCAATATATTAACTAGTATATTACATTCCACCTTCTATTGTTATTAGAAACTTATTGCAATATTTACCAAAATATCCTTATGGAATGGGAAGGAATAACTAATTCAAAATGTTAAATGTACAAATACAATAATTTTAAAATTCATTTTTTAAAACATATATTGCACAGAATTTTATATTATATATTATCTGTTACAAAGTCGTGTTCATGAGTGTCAGAACTTAAAATATAAGTTCTTTTTGCCAATCGTCAAAATAAAGACTTTTAGTTATACTTTTTAATAGTATAAATATATACTATGTTGTTGTTGTTGGGCTTAGGACTCTTCTACATTAGGTGTCCGTGACTTTTTAGCGATAAATAAACAGCACGCACTTCACTTGTTTTCAAAACTATATATATATGTGTATATATATATATATATATGTATGTATGTATATTCGGAATAAGTTAAATGTATGTACAACAAATTCTTCAACACTATAGATATTACAGGCATATCATAAACACTATATATGTAGTTCTCTTCTTCTTGTCAAAAGTCCACATAGGCCTATTCAATTACTTTAGAATTTCAGTTGACAAGCCAAACTATCTTCTCTATTACTATCGCACAAGTATTCTGCATGTGATTCACTTACAATTGTGGCACAAGTTACCGTAATTGTTCGGTCTTCTTTCTTCTGAAGATCCTCTGTTCCTTTTGTCAAAGTGACTCAGGCTGATTCAATTACTTCAGAACCGCGCTTTGATGGAATAAATTATTTTTTTACCTCCGTTTCTACTGTTAGTCTTACTCTAACATATTAAACGTTAGGCCTATCACTTCGACAGTAGTTAATTTCACGCCCAACCTCTCCTTTTCTAACTTTACTTTCTTCTGTTATTTTCTGTCTGCTGTTTCCACTCATCTCACGCTATTTATATCTTTTTCACTTAATCGTCTTTCTGCCTTCTATATTCTCAACATCAGTGTATTGCACGTGACGTTCAATAGTCTCAACATCAATGAATTATTAACAAACTTCCACCAATTGTCTGCTTTTAACACTTATCATAACAAAAACTAAACAATGATAAATTATTCACTCACAAAAATAAATTAATATATAATATCTAAGCTAAACAGTCTTTTATATTATGACAATAAGCTTCACAAAATACATGAATAAAGCATCTGATCAATACAGGCTTTATTTTTCACTAAAAAATGACTTTAGTACAAAACAATTTTATGGGAAGATTTTCAATGAATCTTACATTTGTTTTGCCTAAAACTTTTCTGACAAATAGCATTAATAATTATAGGATTTATCTGAAGCTACATTACAATTTAGGTGTTATATGAACGAGTGTCATAAACTAAAAAGAAATAATTCCAACTTGTGATATATTCTTATATAAAATAAAATAATTTCAAAAAAATCTTAAAACATGAATGTTCTAATGCTTATAAGTAAACTACTGAGTCTGTATATTATATATTATTAACATACAGCTGAATAAGTAAAAACAACTCACAGCTTGTAAACCCATTGTTATCTTATCAGTTGGTGCATTTAATATAGAAACAATGGTAGGAAGTAATCTTTGCAGGACATTTCCTTGACAAGATGGAATGGTACATAGTTCTTTAAAAATTTCTTGAGACAAGGATACAAGCACTGGATCTAGAAATATGAAAAATAAAAATTCATAATGATAATAATAAAACCTTTCACCTGTTTAACTTCATAACTGAAAACAATAAAACTATACAACTTCTACTTACCACTACTATGTTTAAGAAATACTGCAATGGCAAGTGGAGAAACTTTTCCTTCCACAGTTGCTGTAAAATCCTTGTCAATCTGAAAAGGGTACAAATGTATCAAATTAATCGTAACGAGAAGCTCAATTGAAGTAAAAGTGTATAGCAGAAATGGCTGGTATGAGTATTATAAACTTTAATTAGAATAAAGTACAAGAACAATGTTTCGACCTTCTTAGGTTGAAATGTTGTTCTTGTACTTTATTTTAATTAAAGTTTTTAATGCCCATACAAGCCGTCTCTGCTATACAAATGTATCAAATGTTGTTTTATAGCATACAAAAGAGAACACTGATAAATTTATTTAGATCATTTATAAAACATAAGATTCTAGGGTTCACAAAAGTTTTAAGTAAACCTTTTCTTGCTAAATACAGAGTTTACATGTATTTCATACTTATGCATAGAAATGTTGTGAAACTCAAATGATTAACTTTTTTATGACAGCGTTCGGCAAGGTTATGAGTATTAAATAAAACATTTTAAACTTATGTCTGTCAGTCAAACAATGAGTTTTAATGAATAGAAAGGTGTTAAATATACAATTCAACCACCATTTATCAAGAAGAAAAAATATCTTGCAAGACTTTTCTTTGTAGCATGCCTTCAATATTAATTTATAATAAACCAGAGAGAGCTGGTGTCCAGAAGAAAAACTATAAATACTAAAAACTGCAAAATTGTTAAATTTTAGGAATCTACAAAACCTTAAATAGATGTTCAGAGTTACTGTGTGAAAAGTTAATAAAGTAAGATGTGCTTATAAAATAATTAAAAAGTACAGTTTTATGCTTTAAAGACTCCAAAAGAAGGGAATAAGTATTTGAGATTTTAGTCATTTTACTTTTTATTAATTAACCAAAAAACAAACACCGCCATAATGACTCTTAAGTCTCTAAAGCCAGAAACGAATCTGTCTAAAAATGACAAATAGCATTTATTTTTCATATTCTGTAGCTGACTAATAACAATTAATAATTATCTCTACTACATGTGTCAAGTTATAAAACAGTCCTACATTCTCAAGGTAAAGTAGGACACAATACAGCTATCCCAAAACACCATCATTTCCATGACTGGACCCTGCTACAAAAAAGAAACATCAAGGACTAAATTAGCACATGATGTCAACCAAATTTAGTATGTTCTGCATTAGAAATATAATTTTTTTTTACAATTTTGTGAATATTAAATGCATAACATGGTAGGGTGAGATACGAGGTATTTCAAAATCACGAGGGTAATTATATTAACTGATTTTCCTCTACTGAAGAAGTAAAAGCATGCTTATTTTATTTTAAGAATGAAACTATGCAAGTTTGATACACATTAGACATCACAAGTGTGTCAAAGAATGTTTGTTTCTTTCAAACATTTGCCCGAATTTACATATGGACTATCTGTGCTGGTCATCCCTAATTTTGAGATGATAAATTAGAGGGAAGACAACTAACCATGAGCACCCATCACCAACTCCCTACTCTAATTAAATAGAGATTGATTTTATTGTCATGCTTATAATGCACACATGGTAAGAGAACAAACTATGGACCTCTGGATTCACAGTCCAACACACTAACCCAATGCCACACCCAGCTCTTGCCAAAAGAATGTGTTACTTTTAATAGGATTAATGAAAAACCATAATCAGTATGCAAGAGATTGATTTTATTGTCATACTTATAATGTACACATGGTAAGAGAACAAACTATGGACCTCTGGATTCACAGTCCAACACACTAACCCAATGCCACACCCAGCTCTTGCCAAAAGAAGGTGTTGCTTTTAATAGGATTAATGAAGAACCATAATCAGTATGCAAGTTCAAGAACAGAAATTGTAGTAATAAATACAATTGGATGCAAATACTTTCAAGCAAAACCAAAAAATGCATTAGCAAAACATTTCTTTATAATTTGATTTAGAAATCTAAAATTATTTTGAAATTACATTATTCATTTTCTTACTCTAAGAGTTTCAATAACAATTGGACCAAGTTAGCTTGAAAACAATTTTATCATGGTAAAAGTATGAAAAAACTGGTTAGGGTACAAACATTAAAAATATTTCTTGTTGTAATGTTTTAGAATGTGGCTGTAAAATTTTATTTGTTAATTTGTATATTATTTTTACAAAGAAATAATTACATGTTTTCTATCTAAAGAAATTTAATGACTTTAATTTAATTTAATTTCATTACACACTATACTTACAGATAAAACAATCTGGATTGCTTCCATTGCTAATGTTAGTACTTCTGATGAAAACTGAGTTGCTAATGATAACAGACCTTCCATGATAGGGGCTAGATATGGTCCTATAACTGATGTTTGATTTGAAGTCTTCAAATGGTCACAAAACCTAATTTAAAATTGAGTGAATTAAAACATTTGTTTTTTTTTGTTATAAAATCTAGTCAGTATGATGTTCAGTTTCTCTTTGAGTATTTTAAAAACATCATCATATAGCATAATATAAATGAACATTTGGATATTTGTTTTTGTCATAAAAATGTATTTTGACTAGCAATTGCTATGTTTTAAATAGCATGTATGAATCAATGAGAAATACAAACTAAAAAAATATATATATTTAAATATACAAATAATGCTAATGACACTTCCAAAAGCATACAATATCATAATCATATTTTAATGGCTCTTACAAAATAGTTAATTTATTATTAAGAAAATACAATCACTAAAACACTTTTGAAAGTAGTTCTTTGTTGGGAAAAAGTTTAATATACCTTGTAGTTGTTTTAACACCAATAACTTTATCTCTTTCAAATAAGATCTGGATTTTGAAAAATACTGTATTTTAGAGACTTATTCCTCAAGAAGGTTTGATTCAAAATGTTCTGTGAAACAAACCAAAAGATATACTTTATGACTGAATGTTGGATTTAATACATGCCTTGCTTCACAAACATGCCTGTAGATATTAAATTCCAATTTAATAATGCTATTGTTATCAGCTGGGTTTAATGATGAATTATCCACATAAAAATAAAAGAAGCTTATCAATATTGCTAGTATGTACAGAGTTGTTCATTTTCATATATAATTCAATAAGAAAAAAAAAGATACAAATAATTTCATAAACATTATTTTGTATGCAAAAAAATTAAAGAAAATGATTTTCAAACATTAAAAGTAATAACCATGGAAACATAAATTTCACAAATCACAATAACCTAGTTGCAATAAAAATAATCCCCAAATTAAAATATTATGTCAAAGTGACATTATAAAGTAAACCATGAGGTTTTTAGCTTGATCTTAGTACTATATTTACTGTATTATAAGTTTCATTCACAATGACGTGACTAAGTCAAACATACTAGTCACATCACTGCATTGTTCACATTAGTGGTGAAATATGTTGGTACTAATACTTTAAATAAAGAATTTGTTTTTGTAACATACTAAGAAATTCTGATTAAATGTATTTTCATTGTAAACTTTATAACAAGTTACTAAAATATTGTAAAAAGGCCTTTATAAAATTTCTCCTGCATGTTCTAAAGGAAGGAAAGACATGAATTGTAAAGTAAGGAAGTTTTCTTAGTGATGAATGAACATTTAAAATAATTTTTAAATAAACATATGATATTTGCATATGAATTATATCTTTAATTACCAACTCAAAACATTATTGGTTATATTATACTTTGGAATGCCATGCATGATTTACTTTTGAGAATAAACCCAGTAATACATTATATGTAAAAAACAATAATTTCCATAGCTTAAATCTGTTTTTGTTTGATTCCATTGAAACAAACATGTTAATTAATAAAGCATTATATCAAGATTTTATTTTGAACTTAAATATATATACACACACACACCACTCACATTCTATATTAACTAAGAAAGGTCCTTTCATAGAAATGTCTTGCTTCAATTTAATGGTTTTTACAGAATAACAATGGGTCGGTCTAACTGCATGTCACGGTCTTTTAGAAAGTCATTTTCAAAATGTATTTAAACTACTTTTGTTTATTTTATACCAATTAGTATAGCATAAAATCAAAGCTAATAATCCATGTTTTAATAGTATACAAGTTTTAAGTTCTTAATTTTATAAGGCAATATTTAAATAAATCCTGAATTTCCCCTCGTTTGAGAAATGTGACATATTTCCTCTAAGCATCCTCTCTTCTCTATTTTATTCCCCACCCCTCCAATAAGTACGAAATTTAACGCAGTTACTCACTATAAAACTCTCATTGCTCAGACAAACTATAATTTTTATAGCCTTCAATTTTATTTGGTTACAGAGCCATCAAATAGAAAATTAGACTCCCCTTACCTCACCCACCAGTCACATCCTTTCTTACAGAATTTATTAATAGTTCTCTCTTACATTTAATTCTATATTATCTATAACCAATAGAAAGCCACGATTTTCATCTATCAAATGATGTATTATATTACGTTGTTTTCTGAACAGAGAATTGTCAATTGCTTAATTAGTACAAGTTTCATTCCTATGGATGAACTTGTAACGTTTTTTGTTGCGTAGTTAGAAAGCCAGAAAAATTGTGATAGTTAGGGGAAATTGTCTGCTTTTTGCATGTTATTATTCAATGTTCTTTGGTGCATTATCTAATTAAATAAAAATTATTTAGTGCATTACAACCATTAGTATAAAAAAGTATGGTTAAGCATCATTGACAGTCGACAGCAAAAAAAAAAGAAGACCTGGGTAAGTTCTATATTTCATGTTTATTCTATACTTATTTATTATACGAGTAACTAAAATGTAAAATTAAGGGTCTCTTTAGGTTAGTTAAGGTTAGATTAGGTAAAATAAATAATAATATCAATAAAATGTTTCACAAGGTACGCACACAAGCAGCTCAGACTCGGAGTAGCTCATGAGTCATGTACTTCGATAGCATAACGAGAGTTCCACATTCCCCAAGTGATTTACAATTTATAATGGCATGAATATTAGTAGTTAGTTGTTCAAGCGGCAATCACATAGAAATAAAACAATAAAATTTAAGCATAAATAGATGTATACTGTTATGAGTTTTAAACTGCTTAGGATAAACGAATGTAGTTTCATGTTACAATTTCAAGTCATTGTAGAAAAAAAAAACAGCAATTTTGATTATTGTTTTTTGGTGGTTACAGGATTGGTCAAATTGACTGACCCTGTATGGAGTTAAGATAGAGAAAATAACAGATAAAATATAAAGTTTTACTGAAAACAAACATTTGAAATGTATTTAAGAGGTTTTAGAGATTACACAAATGACCTTTTGGGGACGAAGAATATATTTTTAATCATAACATAAAAACCACATCGCACCTGGACTAGTAACGAAACAGACTCCATATATATTCACAAGCAAATCTTTAGTAAAAATACTTCATTAAAAAATCTGATTTTTTGTGTACAAAAGACTTGTGATGTTTACTAAAAGTCTACCACATTTTGTGAAGATACACATACTGCATTAAAAGTTATAGTATAAATACTTAACTTGTGCAAATGTTTATACAAACTTGTGTATTTTATACCAAGCCCATCACGAAAGGGTTAAAAGGGGTATAAAGATGAAACTCTAACAGATATATTTATTGTGAATGCAAACAAAAAGTATTTTTATTGTTAATTAAAAATCTCACCCCCACACAGCTCTCACAGCCGATACCCTGACACTAGAAGGCTGTGAAGCTTGAAGTCCACTGACTGTGACTTGAAGAAATCTAGGATTAAAAACAAGAAAAGAAATTAAATAATATTTTGGAACTAAAGAAATCTCTTGCTTCATAGCATCAATGGAAATAAAACAATATTTGAATAAAATGCATGGGCATGCTAAAACTGTCATATATAAATTGGGCAAATACTATCAATCCAAATTCAAGAAAAAAAAACAAAGTACCAGTTATGAATTTGAAAACAATGTTGGAACAGTTGTATAGATAAAACATGCAAAATAAAAAAAGACAGAAGATACACTTACAAATGACACCACCAATGTAGAATAATATATGCAAGACTAAACTCACAAGTACTAATTCAATGTATTAACTCTAATAAATACTTCTGTAGCTTAGGAAAGCAAACTAATTTCTCTTTTAAAGCTCCACTAAAAACAAAATACTACCACAAATACCTTCCTGAACTGTATTTTCTTTCAAAATAGCTATGATTTAAGTTTGATATTCACTGCTACATAACTAATAGCACAAGTTTACCTTTGAGTAAGATCAGGGGACATTGCTATAGGATACCTGCTTGCCGTCCAGAGGCATCTGCCTACTAAAAACGGTGACACTAATGAATGAAAAAATAAAATACAAATCTTTTATTTATTTTATATATACACACACACACACACACACACATATGTAAGTGTGTATGTATGTAATAACAAGTATCAACTGACATTATAAAGCCTACATTTACTACAATTACAAAAATTCAAGCTTATTTTTGTAAAAAACAGAACACAGTAAAGATCCCGAATGACAAGGCTTTCAAACATTTTCCAGTAAAAATAAAGCATATTACAGCTTCATTCAAAATTTTCATTTATACTGTAAACCTTAACCCTCATATGTTATTCTTAAATTATACGATATTTTGGCTTAGTTCAAAGAATACAGTCTCATTAAGCTGTATGGACATTTTCTTCAAAGTGCTGAGAACCTGAGACTTATGGTATTAATATGACAAAGCAAATATTTTATCAAATTTTATAAATATCAAAATAAACTACGCTATGATTATATTTATCTTGTAATGCTGGTAAATCTAATTTCTGTCATCATACATCAATAATTCAAAAGTATGAAAGAAATCCTGATACTAGAAATATCTGAAGGCAAACTATAAGGTATACACATGTGAAATACAGAAAGTTTTGGATTATTCATTACACATGGTCCCAGAATCTAGGATTACAAACTTGTGTAATTGAAAAATATCTATACAATTAATATTTAGTTGCCTTATGAAAACTTTATCATGTAAAAAACCATCCACCATGATATATTTTAACTTTTTTTGTTTGCTTGTATCTTTATATCTAGTTACCATAGTTATAATTCAATTAATTGTAGGTAGAGTTATTTTAATCATTTGTTTAACTTTCTATTGGTTGCCACTCAAAATCTTAACAATCAAGTCTAGGTCTAGACTCTAGAGCAATGGCGTGATATTTCACTCAAAATTTAGTTTTAGTTCACTGCAGATGTATGTTTAAAGCATATACTTCATAATGAAAATACAGAAGACAGCAGTGAAAATGCTCCTTGAAATGCAAGTGAAATACACAAAAATTTAAAAAGTAGTCATACCATGAAAAAATTATAAAAAATACATACTATACAAAGGAAATACTTCGAGTCAAATACAATCTATATTTTGTTTACAATAATTTCATAATGTAAAATCAACTGTATACTATCTAACTGATTAAGTGTACCAAAACATTAATAAAGCACTTATTTAAAAAGGAGATGCTATGCATTTGTCCCAGGTGCAACTAGTGAAACTATAAAAACCAACTTACCTACTCAATTAATGTATTATGAGTTGAAACTATTACACTAACATATGCATATGTTACACAAGATGTTATTTGAGTAGAAAGAAAAATACATTTTAAAAATTTTATTTATCAATTATATCATTGTAGTAGATACTCAAGATGAGATTATAGCCCCCACCCCATACATTCATCTATAAAGCTGTTGATTGATGTAGCATTTGGTTAAAACAACACACAGAAATGAGAACTGCTATATTAAATCTGTAATACTATTAGAATATGTCATATTAGCAAAAATATTCTTATTTGAAATAGACTTAAGTGAGTTTGTAAATGACAGTAAACTTTTATTCACCTTAAAAATACAGTGTTAAAAAAATGACAAAATGAATTAACATTGGCAGCATGGTACAATTACAGCTTAAATATAAAAACTGTATGATCTGAAACTGAAATTCAATATTATTAACTGACAATATAATGAGTAAAATTTGAATTATATTTTTACCAAGTGATATCCTGTTTTTAAACTTTGATATGTTATTCCTTAAATTATTTTTTATTTCAAACTTACACTTCTGAGAAGAAAACAAACTACTATTAAAACACCTATGATTTGAAATTATGAAAATAAAGGAAAAATTATTATAAACAGATGCAAGGTTAACTGGACTACCAGAACCATTTGGTCTTACAGTAATAAAGATTTTATACTACAAAAAATACCACACTTTCAAGTAAGTTCAAATATTATTTCAGACAATCATCATGAATTATTTTAATGAAAAAGAATGACTCTTTAGGTACAAAGAAAACTACTGAAATTAATTTCTAATAAACATTGCTTCTCAAACAAAATTTGCCATCAGCCTACAATGATCAATCAAGAAGGAGGTCATACTAAGAAATCAAGACAATGAAGTGGCCTTAAAAATGATGGAAAAGTGAACATATTATTAACAAAATTGTACATTACATATTAATATACAAAACTATTTTAATTTTTAAAATAAAAATTTCATTTAAGCATATACTTTCTGAATATTACCTTTAAATTACTGTTTGGTACCAAGACTTACAGGTGGCTGTTCTGATTCCAACTGTTTATTTGTTTATTGTTAACTCTTTCAGAACGGGCTTGGTTCTTAGGACCAACCTTGTAACTATTTTGTGCTTGTTATAGTTTTCATGCTATAACTTATATCAGTAAGCATATGTTATCGAAATTTGGCAGAATATCAGTAAACATTACAATGATTTCACATGCAAAATATCGAATTTTTTTATTAAGTCTTACGGTTTGTTAAGCAATAAGATTAAAATATGCATCATAAAACTTTCAAATTTCACATGCAAAATCTTTATAATGTCGAGATAGTTATCAAACATGTCTTAAGAAAAATGTTTTTATTCTATCTGTTATTTTCAGTAACAAATATATGTACAGGTTCAGTAGATTTGACCGATCTTCTAACTACCATAAAAAATTAGGAAATAAATACAAATTATGCCTCTTTCATTCTAGAATGACAACAAATTATAACACAAAAACATAAATGTTTAGACTAAATAGTGTAATTCTCATAACATTATACATTTATTATTTTTATTATATTGACCTTTCAGCCATGCCTGGCTAACAATAAGAAAAGTTACAATGACATGGCACACATACACTCATGTTACCATATCCAATAATATAACACTGACCTTTAGTCTTTACAAAGCGACCTGTCTTGGCCGTGTTTTAGTAGACTAGTATTTTGTAAAATACATTCACATTTCAATTATTATACATTATATACATATATAGATTATTACTATTTAAAAATAAGTTCTTAAACTTATTTTTCTTAAAACATAGAACAGTAAATGAAGAAGTAAAGCAAACAATTATCTCTTCTAGTTACAACCTTTGTACTCAGATGCTGTTTGATGTAGGGTGCTAAGCCTTTTAAAATTTCACACGTGGAGAATATTAAACGAAATAATTTTTTTAGGTTATATATATGTATATATACCAAAAAATCATAAATTACTATATAAATACCATAGAATTCCACTCTAATTTGTCAAGCTTAGTAACTAAGCTATATTTGGGTCTAAAAAATATGAAATGTCAAACACACTAAAGACACAACCTACCTCCTTGAAATCTTGATTCAAAAGAAAGAGATGGCATACTAACACATGAAAATGGGTGAGAAAGCCACTAGGGGGACATTCTGAGCTTTCGATTGGTTATTCACGTCATATATTGAAGTAAGTGTATATAAGGGACCCTTTCCAAAAATGGAAAGAGGTGAGCAGAGTCACTGTGTTTAATTCAGTACATGAGTGATATCTCAGCAAATATAAAAGATACAAGTTTGTTATTTTATATTCAAGCTTGTCAGTATCAATAATTTGAGTTTCTAATTCATACAAAACTATAGACTTAGAATTTTGACATCACAAACATCTAATCAGAACCAGTGCTGCATTGAACATACCACGTGACACACAAAAATCAATGTTTAACTGTGTTTTTTAAATATTTATTTTTAAATTAAGAAATTAAATAATATATAATACAAAAATTTGAATTATAATCTATAGTTTGATACCAAACTTAGTGACATATTCATGAAATAGTAGTTCAATACAATTTTGAATGCGAGTCAACAAACACGATGCCATGGCCTTTGACCCGTGACCTGTCTCGAGAGGGTTAAGCACAAAGCAACAAAATAGGCTTTCTGTGCTGTGCCCACCACAGCTATAAAAACCCAGTTTTTAGCATCATAAGTCTTATCACTAAGCCATTGGGGAGGCCAGTACCAACTGTAAAAACACTAAATATTTCATGCATAATTTTCAACAACAGAAGTTATCACAGTAATATGATTATACAAGAAAAGTTTAAAGTTTGCTTTGAAAAGCACATGGGGATCACCAGTATCAAACTCTATGAATAAAATGATATACATTTTGAAGCATGTATTTGGAGTCACAAAGTAAAATTTAAAGTGGACTTCAACACGTTCTGAATAGATAAGAGTTAGATTTTAGTTTAAGCATAGATGTAGATGTTACATCTTAAAAGTTTTAAGTTACTGATTAAACATATGAATGGGATTAAATATAATTCTACAGCTGAACATATGATTAGAGTACAGTAGTATAGATTAACATGTTTTAACATTGAATGTTATAGGCCATATTTATGCAAATTTTTTAATACATAATAAATAAGAGGCACTATAACTTTTAGGTTTAAATTTGTCTGTAAAAGTCTTGTTACTTTTCAGCCACATCCTTTGTATCCTCATTTTTGATGTGTCCTTGCTACTTTTTTGAACTTTCAGCTATGGACTGTTGCTATATGCCTTTTCTCAGTTTTTTGTGTAATGTTTAACTGTATGCTGTCCTACTCTTAATATCCTGCTTATAGTTGAGAATAGTCAAGTTGTTAAAATACAGAGTTCAATTTGCATTCTTGTCTGTGTGGTCAAGGGGATTTTAAAGTACTTTTACATTCAAGAAAGCAGTGAATAATTTAACAACTTAAAAATAAAAATGAAAGTTCCACAAAGAGTCTGAAATTCTGAATTTAATAGCCAATAAACACAAGGAAAATACTGAAAGAGAATCTTGAGAGTTACTTTTAAGGTTTGCTATAACTAATTATGAACACATACTGTTTTCTGAATATTTCTGACTGTGTGAATGATGCAAGATCAGCATGTAGTAAGGATGAAAATATTACAAGAACAGATATAGCACGAATATGGTTACTTTAACTTTTAGTCATATATAATTCAGCTGTACAGAGAGATACAACAGTTATACACCAATATTTCTGAGTTCTGTTCTTACTATCGTTTTTCTAAGTCATATTTGCATTTTACTATATCTTTTTCTTTTGTGGCAGTAATTGGTTGGGATGTCATGAATCCTGCATGAATATATGGACGTGATCCTTTTGTGTGGAAATTCTGGACTGAGTTAGTAGTGGTTGGGAAATTGTTGTCTCACACAAGTGAAGGTCATATACTTAACTGGCTTTACAAAAACTAGTTTTGCAACTGATTATAAATGCTGTAAAATATTTATCTTTCACTTCTTTACATTTTTATGGAGTGGGCATATATCAAAAACTTGAAGTTTGTCACAAGTACAAATGACCTGGAAAATTTTAGGGTGAAAATCACAAGTCTCCAAATGCTACAGAACATGAGCCATAAACTGAGTAGAAAGATATAATTGTATTTTCTTATCAATGGCACAAATTTCAAGCAGTTCTAAAGCAGGACTTGCCAATTTTTAGCCACTGATGAATTATTAATTAAGAGAAATTTGAATCTTACTAAATAAATAGTTGAAAGCAAAGTCAGGTACAAGTGAGAGAGGTACAATCAAATACAATATTTTTCTTCTTTGTTCTGAATTAATGGCTAAAAAAGCTCAAAATTATATATATCATAGTCTGGCCTATTATCTTGTTTATTTCTTCTTCTGTCATGTTTTTAAAGATAACTCATGTCTTTGATGCATTAAGAAAAAGGGGTTAGGATTCACAGTTACAGCAACTGAAGGTATAATAACTTGGTCCAATCAGAAAGTGGATAATGTTATTTAATAAGAACACCTAGCTACTGTGACTCATAGTCCCAAGTTCTCTTTTATCAAATTTAGGAAAGTTAATATGTGGGCCTCCTATGGCAGCATTGTGTTGGATTGACAGAAACAGAGATAAAAGCATGACTGACTTTTCCATTTTTTTTCACAGACTCTGGACACTCTCAATAAAAACACTGATTTTAAGTCAAAATTATTTGTTGTCAGTATAAATGTTTAAACAGTCTAGGTTATATAATGTTCTCTAAACCCGATGTCAGACATGCTGATTTCTATCAACTACATATACTTCTGCCTATTTAAATCCCATCTCTTATCCGACATCAAGACACTTTTCGTTGAACATGGCTTAAATGAGAAGAAGATATCCAGATCTGGCCAACTATAGAAAGAAAGCGGGACATTACAAGTTTAATAGCAGAGTTCTTATTTTAAAAATAAAGCAACTAAAAAAAAAGAATCAGCTTACCCTGATTTTGAAGCTAATGTGAGGTAGCAAACCACAAATTACATATCTATCCTCTAATTATATCAGCTTAAAGTTAAACAATACTTGATTACTAGCATTCCAAAGTCAACATGGATACCTATAATACCAATTTTAATCTAATAAAACAAATATTTTCATCAATATTTGTTTCAGTATATATACACACACACACAACACTTGTATTAGCCCCCTCTAACCACAAAATGGCAATAAAAGAATTCTGAGCATGAAAAGTTAATCCATATAGCCTATGAGTTCTGCTAGAAGCCCATCCTTAATTAATCAGTGAAGTGAAGTGAATACAAATTCACAGTACTTGAAACATGGTAGCTCAGTTAAATGAATTACAAGGTTGAATCCTGTCCAATCTCAGTTTTAATTCTTCAGAAAAATTCCTAAATATCTGACCCACTGATAAACAAGTAATTACTTAAGCTATAAAAATACAAAACTATTCTGTTAGAAAAAAAAAACTTACTCAATATAAATACCATGGTAGAAATTTTACAAATATACAAACCTGATGAACTGAGGTCTACTAAGACCACAGATTGGAGGAATTCAACAAGATTAAACTGTAATTGGTTATTCTGAATCTGTTCTAAAATTAGATCTTTTACACTTCCTAGGGCAACCATACATGACTCGTGAAGTTTCCACCTACATAAAAAATGGAATGGGTATATCTTATTCCAAAAAAACTCTAAAATTATATCAAACATAATATTAAGAAATAACATGCATACAGTTCATAAATCAATATCTTTAGAGAACTACAAGAAAAGCACAACAAAATAATTCAACTTTCATATAGTTTAATTCACTTCTTGTTTCAACAAACAAATGCTGTCAATTGTGATGCTACAACACAAACATTTCTTTTTTCTTATTCTTTGAAAAACAGCAAGATATTTAGTAATTTTTTTGTCTCAAAACCTTAAAAACATGGATGTGCGTGTGTAATTTCTAAAAACTCCATGATACAAGAAAAAAACAGTACTTTTAATTTTTTTGTTTTTAAACCTATTGAGAAAATTTCAGTGTACAATTTCTATTATAGATTTCAAGTTGTCATGATACATTTCAATAATTTTCACAAACTATGTTTATTTATTAATTAATGTTGAGTTGTAATACATGATATATTTTTCTACATATCTGAATAACTTCATTCATAAATAACACTTAACTGTGCAGAGCTGACTGTCCAAAAGAAATATGAAAAAATGTTTTTTCAATTATGTTTTAACAAACATTCTTTTTGCAAAATTATGTTTAACTGTACTTTTTTTTTTATTAACACATCAACTTAAGTCTGCCAGAAATAAACTACCAAAACACTTATAGAGTTTAATGAAATGAGACATAAGTACCCTTACCAGTATGGATTTCCACTATTTTTACTAACTTCAGCTTCCTGCAAGTGCTTAGTTACAGCATTGCACAACCCAACAGCACTTTCTGACTCAAACTCTTGGCACAGAGACTGAAATAAGTTTCAAACACTTAAAACTAGCTGCTAACTTTTAATATTGTGTTAAGAAATAATTAAAACCTTGTTAAAAATAGCTTTTAATTATTGCACTCTTCATAAAAATTTCCTCACATAATCATAAATATGGTTTTATATTTTAATCTCATCACTCAAGTTTAATTAGTAATTCATGAATTAGACTGATGCATAAATTTAAAGGGTTACATAACTTTTTAAAACAAAGGTACTACATCAATACTCTTTTGGCTGAAATTACCTGTATTATTATCCAAATTTCAAATTTTAGTATTATACATTATTGAATTTCATAATTTAAAAGTAATTATTAAAAAAACACAGTTAAACATCAATTTTTGTGTGTCACGTGGTATGTTGAATGCAGCACTGGTTCAAATTAGATGTTTGTGATGTGAAAATACTAAGTCTATAGTTTCATACAAATTAGGAACTAAAATTACCGATAATGACAAGCTAGAATATAAAATAAGAACCTCATATCTTTTATATTTGCTAAGATATCGCTCATGTACTGAATTAAACACAGTAGCCCCTCACCCACCTCTTTCCATTTTTGGAAATGCTCCCTTATATACACTTAAATCTACATACGACAAGAATAACCAATTGGAAGCTCAGAATGTCCCCTAGTGGCTTTGTCAGCCATTTTAATTGTTAAGATGCCATCTCATTCTTTCAAACAAAGAATTCAAGGAGGTAGGTTGTGTCTTTAGTATGGTCGAAATTTATATTTTCTTAAAGCCAAATACAGCTTAGTTGACAAATTATAGTGTAATTCTATGGTATCAATATAGTAATTTATGATTTTTTGGTTATTCATTTGTATATATAAAACCTAAAAAAGTTATTTCATTTCACATCCTCCGCATGCAAAATTTTATAAGGCTTATCT